AATGCCTGGAAGGAGTGGGTGGGGGGAGGGGAAAATGAGCAGGTTTGGAATTGATGGAAACATTGTTGTTTCAAATTGTCTTGGTCTTTTTATGAAGAGTTGCAGTTAGCTCTTAGCTAATTGCCAGGTATTTTTAATCCCTTCCATTTTTTTTCCAACAACCTGATTAGGTTCTCTCCAGCTATGCGTCAAAGTACTGGTAACTGATCACAAGTAATTTTATTGTGTTACCATAGCATTGTTTTAAAATACTTCTTAATTTTGCTCATGCTTTGGCTAACTAAAATGAGTTGAGATGACTTTGTCTAATGACTTCAACGGTACCATTGACTTTCTGATTTAATATCAAGCATATATAGTGAACAGCATGTGACTTCCAGCCAGGAATTACCCAAATGAAACTGGTGAAATGTTTAAAGAAGAATGCAGAAAATTGAGCTGTATGTTAACTGTAGTTCCTTCTCTTCAGTTCTGTGACTTTTGATGATGGATCTTTAACCAAAATGCAAAACCCAAGAGTAATTATATTGTCTATATTGTGAATAAACTAAGGCAAGCTTAATATTTCAAAGGATGCTAGCAAACATTTGCAGAATAGTATAACATATATAAGTTCTAATAAGCAATTATAAAACATCTTGGCAGGGTATCCGGTCACCTAGCCACCTGGGAAGTTCGCCACCAACGAACTTGCCACCAAGACAAGTCTCCTCGCCACCAAACACCAAGAGAAAATTAAACTAGAGTAAAGTAGTCGAGGTACATTAGGTGTTAGAGCGAGTACAATGTCAATCAACTTATAAGTTTGTTAGCTTGTCTGTTTCCAAATTTCGATGTCAACATGCTGTCGGTGACATGAAATGTGCTCCGTTGTCTAGCAAGAAACCATAGCTTTCTAGAATTCAACTACATGTATATATCTTTGAGAACTGACTGTGCTGTTATTGCTCAGTTGCTTTGCTGTTGTGTTTGCATTTAAGCTTTCATAAGTGTTTCATAAAAGGCTTTGGCTAAACGATTGAACAACTTCAACCTTACATGGGCTGTGTGAGTTGTACAACTAAACAAAGTAAAACGAATTTCAGTTTAATGTTATTAGATCATTAGTACTTTGGTGGCGAGGAGACTTCGCTTGGTGGCGAGACATCCTGGTGGTGAGGTGACTAGTAACCCTTGACAGCATTTGGTTAGCTATAGTTTATTTTCAGGCTTTCTGTGTTTTTACTTGTTCAACTATTTGTAAAGCTAGGATGTTTTGTCAGCTTGGAAATTGTGGACCTCCTCCAGAATAGTTTCCAGATATATCAGCTTTGCTGAAGTCAAAGCCAGGATTCTGCCAAAGAGAAAATGACAAAATGAAAATAAGCAAACAAAGAAAACAGATTTATTTAACAAAATTTGTTGCAAAATTTTAATTAGGGTCAAATATTTGATGACACTATTTTACTTCAAAACCATTATTATTGCAACTTTGAGCTTATTTGTACTCATGACACCTGACTGCTAAACAATATGAAAGGGAGACAAGTGATCACTCTTGCTAGATGTACCTCTTTTTGGAACCTTTCTAAGGTTAACTTCTTTTCCATTTCATTAAATGTCCATGGGTCAGCAGAATATTCACTTGTTAACAGTGAATGCCAGCAGTTAGCTGCATCTCTGCCAGATTTCACCAAAATAATTCGAACAAGCTCATTGTCCTCTGAAACAAACAGAAAAATGGCTGATATCAAAATTACCCACTAACATCACCTTGACTAGGAAAACCAACACCTGAGTAGACCCTTTCACGGTTTCTGGCACGATCTCGGTTGGGGAGAAAACACAGTAAAATGGGCAATTAATATAAGAAGAGTTGGCAGTCCAATGCCCAATAATTTGAGGATGACAAACATTCTCAACGTTTTAAGAGTTACAAGGGAACGATACACTGTCACATTTTTTGTCCTTCTTTTCTAGGTTTGAATAATCTCAAACTACACAATTGCACAAAATAAGCAGGGATGAAACCGTAGAAATAACTTAAAGTTATAAGTTTAAAAAATAAGAAACGTAATAATACAAACCTAAAACCCAAGTACTTTCATCGGCTAAAACAGTTCCAAAGAGTTCTCCCTATGAGGGAAACCATAAAAATTCGATGGCCTGTTAATTAGATCAATTCGATGTCCAAATTAAATACGATGGAAAATTAAATCACTGACTGAGTCACCTTGAAAAACTCCTGTCCTTTTAAGCAAAATTTTATACTCTTTGGCTTGATATCACAAGAAATTTCCCTTCCCTTAGTTCCTTTGGGTACATTGACCTCGATGAAAACTTCATCAATCGTTTGCGCCCAATTTCCCCAGGAGGTTTCTGATGGAACAACTCCGCTCTTCTCATCAAAATGATCCGCCATTTTGGAGAATGCCCTCTGATGGGTCCTCTGATGGTACTTACATGACGTAACTTCCTTCCAACTGCACTTACCGCTGCCCAAAATATTAGTTTGCAAATTTCCTGTAATGCGCCTTGGCGCACGTGTGATTGATTATTCTGCCGGTATTATTAAATTTTCTCCCAATTTTCTGAGGTTTGGAGCTCGGCGATACTGCTTTACTGTGGAAGAGATGTCGGTGAGTAGCCTGTACTGGTTTAAATGGTTAAAACGCGTGATGTTGTTCGAATTCGATCGCGTGTTTAAACCCTGACTGTTACATTCTCTTATTTTATCTTTCACTTTTTGTGGACGTTTCTTAACTTCCTCAGCTGTGGTTCAGTGTACGCAAAATGCAAATATTTTAAGCTGTGGTTTTATAGAAATGAAATAAGACTAAAGAGCGCCAGCAATGGCAGATTGATATCTTGTATTGAATAATTCGTTGTGCAAATTATGTTGATGCCATCCCTGTGGTTCGTGTTGATGCAGTCATTTAATTTGCAGTTGCAAATCTGATGCAATCCTGCATTTATTCCGTGCAATGAGTTGTGAACGCTATTGTGGCCAAAATGATGGTAAATAGGTATTATTTTATAATATCAACCCAAGATTTCAGCCATTCTGTTTAGTATCACCTTGAATTGTTGTGGTGAAAGAGTGGTAAATCGAATGGTGGAGCCCAGGAAACAGGATCAGGTACGACACCAATATTATTGATTCATCATAAGATACACTGTAATAAGGAATCGGTTTATCTTTACTGGCCTCTGTACAGGGAGGATACCTAAATACCAAGTCAGGATCTAGGTCTTGTGCTTGGACTAGAACCGGGACTCGAGCCAGGACTTGAGCTAGGTTGAGCCAGGACTTCAACCAGGACTCGAGCCAGGACTCGAGCCAGGACTCGAGCCAGGACTCAAAGGTCTCTCATTTTGGTCTCATTTGTAGAGCTCCCATCACTTATTATATGCCTGCATAATTATAGTACCACTGTGTTTAGACTTGACACTACACCAGCTGTACCATCTTTATTCTCTGCTTCATCCAGATTTAACTCTGATTTGAACGTGTGCCTGTTTTTCCTTTTGTAGGTTGACAGGAAGAGCACAGCTAAGGTTGATTACTTGAAGGAGGTTGAGGCACAGATCCAGAAGAGATGGGCTGATAACAAAACATTTGAAATAGATTCTGCTCCTGTAAGAATGATTTTGCTTTAACATACATGTACATGGCTAGGCCAAGTATCTTGTTGCTACTTTTTGCATTACAGACTTGAATGTGTTAATTTGATTGATAAATATAGCTAATGGCTATATTTTCTCAACAGCCTGGATCACCAGATGCTAAGTAAGTACTGAAAGCAATAATTTGATTTTAAGATAATAACTATCATTTGTGACTGAATCAATAATTTAATATTTTGGGCACTCTCAGTGGGAGAGGAGATACAAACATCATTGACAATACATGTAATAATGCAAGGAAACAACTTTGGCTCACTGCCATTAAAAGAAGCTTGCCTTATTGTGACTTCCATTCCTCAAGGTGAATGATCCAGAAGAATAAGAGATCATTTCTTTGAAACACATGCAGCGCACTTAAAATAACCTCTCAAAATGATATAAAGCTGTTAAATTGTGGTGTTTCAATATATATGTAGCTCTTGGAGCCTCTTAATCAGTCTCCTGCCCACTCCTTTGTAGCATTAGGTTGAATAGGGATCTCAGATGTGCTGGCAAATGAAACATACTTATTTATAATTATAGCGGAGCAGCTGCCAAGCGGAGCCCCATACTCATATAGGAAAGAAAAGGAAACCCATGAGTTGATTTTCTCATGGTTATCATGGTTAGCGGTATTGCTCGTGGGTATGTACGCACGATGACGGTGGCGACGACAGAGTCGCACAACATGGCAGCCATACTCCAAATAATACATGTAGGTTAACAGAGACATGCAGCCTTGGTTTACCATGTACTTCTTTGATTTTGGACATCCATGTTATGATCAATTGACACCTGTCAAAACAAGGTATCCATTGATCGTGACCAGTATCACGTGACCATATCACGGGCTCAAGTTTAAAGCTCATC